AGGGCTGCCGGAAGAACAATGGACTCTCCCACCAAGGCACACGGGGTGCATGTGCACGCCATGAGGCCTGGCCTGCATCCAGAAGAACAGGAGTACAGAAAACCAGCAAGGGGAAACCTGCACCCTAGATGAACATGCAGGCAGCAGGGAGGACTCCACACTCAAGCCTGCAAGTACAGAGCACGCAGGTCCTACCAGAAACAGACATGGGCAGCCCGTAAAGGAAAGCCATCATATCCGTTTTAGTAGGAACAGTTAAAATCAGTGTTAACATTGAAGATGGTAGCATTTTCATAACTAGTGAAGGTCCAACCTACACATCTAGTTTACAAAGCACTTCCACGGGCATCATCTCTTTCTGATTTTAATTTTCCTAGGCGCTCTGAAAAGGCTGTAGGATGATGTATCAACAGGCTTGTTTTGCAGGCGAAGAAGCTGGGGTTCAGAGAGGTCAAGCAGCTAATCCAAGGTCACCCAGTTTCACAGTTCCATGTAGCAAAGCCTGACCTTTTGACTGTGAGCACAGGGCATATGCACTACATTGTATATTATATAATCATCTGTAGAACTCAGGAGTAACATGTAACAATGTATTGAAAAAAGTTACTACCGGAATCCACCTATGCAATTTAACTACTCTTGGCTAACTGGAGGTGAACCACACCAAAAGGTCTTCCCAAGTGATCAGCTTTTTACCTAAGGTTTCTGATTGTCAAAACATGAACTCCTGACACCTTTCCCTTGGATGAGTAAGGTTCTGGGGTCTCTGCCATGGCCACTACCAAGAAAAAAAAAACGCAGTAGAAACTGGCCAAGGCTCCTTTAATAAGGTAACAGCAAACCACTGCCTTGAGTTCATTAGGAAAATACAGAGCAAATGGGCCAGTAGGAACTGTGTGTCAACTGTGGGATCCACGTGGTAGGCAGAATTGCAATGTTAAAGGCTGCGCCAAAATCAAAACACCTCCACGTGAAGTGAGGGTATCAGAACCCAGTGCTCAGAAAGTAAAGCCTTACCGGAAGCCAACCAGGTTCACTTCCCCCGCAACACACATACACAGTGGAGAGAACAGCCAGGAGGCCATAAATGCCCCACAGTTAAAAAAAAAAAAAAAAATTCCTTTGGTCTCCCTTACCACTAATCAAGGAAGGCAGCATATTTATCTTGACATTGTTCCTTTAACCTGTATTTGCCCCCATCCCCCCCACACCCCAGATTTCCTCTTGGGCGTATCTCCAAGCCATCCTTTTCCTTAAAGATTTAAACACAACCGATGAGCAGTGTGTATAATCTTCAAAGAGCACTTTAGCCATCATAAAGAATATTTTAACAGGCACTAATTTTTTCCCCTTACCACACCTGTCCTCATAAACCGTTTATGAGTATAACAGAGAAAGCGAACAGACCAGCTCAGATAAAGAGAAAGCCACCCAGGAATGAAACTTCAGACTTTAGACTACTCACCACCACCCCTCCCCTAAACTCCTAAACTGACATGAAAGTTCACAAGGCCTTTGGCCTCTCCCTGAACATCTCCCAGAAGAGCTCTCCGGCCTCCCTCCCTGGCCCAAGCCTGATCTTACCGGTGGCACACAGAGCGATGAAGGTCTGGGCATGCTTTCGGATCAGAGACAGCTTCTCCCGCTGCTGAGGCAGCTTGCGCAAGATGTGCTCAATGAAGTCATGAGGAGTGACAGCTGCCAGGTTCCACTTCAACTTCCCCAGCACCACCAGCTCCCACTCCTGGAGGAGGAGAGGACAATCTAAAATCCACAGGCTGACCTGGTGAAGGGGGCTGGGGGTTGGGCTCCAGACCAATTTTAAGGCCGCTCATTAGGACGTGGCTGCTAGATTGCAAGGCGGGCCCATTCGTCAATGTGCCCCTCAAGCTTTGAAGTTGCTGACAGCTCTTCTTATGCTTCAAATGTCAGGCTCCACTGAAAATAATGAGCGCCCAGGTAGCTGTTGCCAAGATTCCATTTCCTTCTATTTCGTTTCCACTCCAGCTCCCCTTACCCCCTCCCAACCCTGACTTGCAGGCAATACCGCCCGCCCACCCAGAAAGCCGAACCCACAATAAGATGCGACCAAGGTCACTGTGGCCCTTTCACGGTGATTGATTGTGCATGTCTCTATCACCGAATTAATAGTCTTTTTAATCTTCATGGAAAAATGATGCACGCAGATAAAGCTCAAAGTAAGGTTCCCTGGTCCAACTCCTGGGCAGCTCATTAGCTTGCTTTCGCTTACTGCCCAAGTGCCTTTTTTCTCTCAGCTGTTCAGACTTTCCCCTTTGACATATCACGCAGAAACCTTGGGGATGTGACACTCAGCCCTTTCACCTCAAGGTTTCACGGGCGGTTGGTATCATGACTAAAGGACCACATGGTCATTAGCAACCCCATTGTGCAGATGGAGGTGATCTGAGGCAAGGTGAAGGTGCTGGCTCAGCGTCACAGCATCCTTCCATGCAAGTGAGGGGGCATCGAAAGCCTGTCTCTTTCGGGCCTCTCATCAGCAGCCCACCTGAAGAAAAACCTGGTTTCCCTCTTTCACTGAGACACGTATGGGAAACTGTGCTCAAAGGGAAACAGTCCAAAATAAAACATTAAAAATATTGTATGTGCTATCAGGAAATATGCCTATCCACTGGGCTATCATCAGAAGAATGAGAGGTTGGGCCTGTTTGCCACCACACCCCGTCTCCCATTCACATGAAGAACTTGGAATCTCTTTCATTTGCTAAACCAGCAACCAGAACACCAGTCCTGGAGCAATGGGGCAGGGGGTGATTCCCTTTCCCTCCCAGGCCTCAGTCTTCTCATTTGTAAAATAGTACTCTTCCAAATCCCAACTTCTGGGATAAAAAGGCCAGGGTCGTGTAGAGCAATATATTGCTTGGGTAGTCTTGGAAAGATTCACGTGTCCTGAAGAACACCTCAGTTCACCATCCTCTTGAAACAAATGAACCATATAAAGATTGTTTTTCCTGCTCTCCCATGAGAAAAACAAATTGGTTCCCAATTCTAAGAATGTTTTTTTTATAAGCTTTAAAAATCTGCCTCGGCTTTCTGTGGACAGCTGGGGTAAAGGGCCCCAATAAACTACTAAACCACCATCATCTTCAAAAAGATGGCTTGAAATGCCAGGCCTTCCTTCTCACAGGGTAAGGCGAGTACGGACCACTCGTCTTGCACCATGATTAAAGGAAGCAGATCTCCCAGAAGAAAGCACCTTTCTGGGCCTCTCGGACCAAACCAGAAGCAGCTAAAATCTGGCAGCGGTTCAAAGGTGAAGTCATCCAGGCCCCTCTCCACATTCTCGGCAATTCCTCCCCCAACCTTGTGCATGTCTTCCACTAGATGGCAGCACAGCCCCAGAAAGGAAGGCTCCTCACAAAGAGCCCAGTTCAAGAAGCCAGCCTCAGCCCTGTGGACTTTGGGCAGGCCCTGCCAGTAATGAGGGGGAGGGGGCGGGAAGCCGGGGGGTGCTTTTCTAAACAGTTCAGAGGGGGTGTGCAAACCACTGAAGGTGGGCCTTGGAGCCGCTCTTCCATCCAGTACTGCTGCAATATGGCCGTCTTATATGTCAAGCTGCAGGGAAAAGGAGTTAGATCAGGTGGGAAAAAGGTTCCCTGGTAGGAAACCAGAGATAAGACAGGACCCCTGGGGTTGTACAGAGGTCACAATCCTACTGGAGTTAGGAACCCAGGCCTGGGGCTCCTTCAATGAAAGGATAAATTTTGACTTTGCGCCAAAGTCAATGAACTGATATTTAGTGAACAGCTATTATGTGTAGGTATCCTGAGGCTTTATACAGAGGGCATTACCTTTGAACTCCAAGTTTTTAAGAGACACACACCACAGCCACATACCTATCATGTGAACACATTCTCAGACTATTTTTGAAAATTTGGAATTTAATTAAAATATTATCACTGTTCCTTAAAATATTCCACGCTTCCCCTACACACATGCACACACATTGCGAAAGAGTCTCACCAACCCAAATCTCCATGAGGATCTTATTCAGATGTAGCCTCAGTGCTGGGCACGGAGCCTGGGCACATAGTAGGAACACACACACAAAAAAAAGACAGTGGTTTCCTATTAAGTGAGCCATCGCCCGTAAGTGTGAACATTCTACTGGTGGGATCATTTTTGGATCACAAGAATTTGCTCTGAAGTGGTGAGTAGACGGTATATTGCTGGCCAGGGGAAAGCGGGAATCGCAGAAAGGCAGGGAGGAAGGGGCCCGTCATTACCAGCAGCTCCTGAGGCTTGATGGAGTTGTCAGTGTAAATGCACAGCTTCTCCGCAGTCAGCGGGCTGGTTTCTTTGAGCTTGGAGGCCAGGAACATGCAGACAGCACCCAGGAGTTGCAGATGGGACTTTGGAGTCGGGACCCCAGCCAAGAAACGGTCCAGGTAATTCATGGCCAGAGGGAAGACCTCTTCTTCGCACTTCTGTTCCTCACAGACCTACGATGGGAGTGAGAAAGGGTTGGGGGGCGGGGGTGGAGAGCACAGCATCAGCAAAAGAGAAAAATAAAAAAGCATAATGTATGGAAACAAAAAAAATTAATTTTTTGTGAGGAGGGGGAGGGGAGTAGAATGTGTGATAAGAATAAAGAACAAAGATGAGGAAACTGGGGTGCCTTAAGCCCATCCGCGCTTTGGCATTCCCAGGGAGCCTATAAAAGGGGGTGAACTACAGCTCCAAAACGGGGAGTCGGGGAAGTGCGCAGCAGCCGCGGCAGCTCCGCGACGCTCCCTTTGGCTACTCCTTCGCGCACTCTAAACTCACTCACTCTTTTTTGGATTTCGTCATCTTTTCAAAAAATCAATAAAAATATTCTGGAGGCTCCGAGGGTCCACTTCTTGGTCTCATCCGGATCCTCAGATCCTCCTCTTTCATTCCCGACAATTGGAAAAAATGTCCGGGGGGGTCCCTGCGGCCCAGGGGCCGCTATTGGGGGGGCGGGTGGGGAGAGGTGGGGAAGAGAGGGGGAGGGAGGAGAGGAGGAAGAGCGCCGCAGCCTCGGCAGCTGGAGTCGGAGCAGGGGGGGGACAGTTTCAAAAAATAATTAAAAATCGAGGAAATATCCTAGAAAAGCCCTTTTGGCGTGAAAACCCCAAAGAGGAATCAGGCTTCCCGAAACGTAAGTTTCGGGTGCCAGAAAGGTCTGTATTCCGACCCCTGGGGCTTTGGATCCCGGGAGGAAACTTGAAGGGGTGAGCGCCGCGGCGGGAGTGTCCGGCTGCGGCCCACAAGGACAGAAACGAGGGAACGTGGTGACGAGCTGGGGGACAGACGGGAGCAGGGAGCCCTGGAAAGAGGCATGAGGGGCTCCGACCTCTCCTTTAGGGGTGACCCGATATCCCTCCTACACACACACCCTCCCCCCCCTTCCTACCCCACCCAAATCTCCGCACAGAGGAAGCTGGAAAGCCAAACTGTAAGTAACCTTCGCGAGGTTGGGGGTGGGGGAGAGGGCACGATTCAAAGCGGGGTGGTCGGGATAATGGGGTGCGAGGGTAAGCGGGCGACGTTTCCCAGCCTTTCCAACGGGAGTTTGCAAAGCAACATGGCGAAACCACGGCAGGTCCAGAGCTGTGCATACGTGGGCACACCGCTCGCTGGGCAAAGACTTGGAGTGAGGGGCAAGACGTGGTTCTTTTGGGTTCCCCTGAAACACACGTTTCTTCCTTGAAACTTTCAGGGCTCCAAAATTCCCCGTTTCCCTCCTCCCTCCTTCCTCCACCTCCCCCCTGAAGTGCCAGCGCGGAGTCGCGACCACATGCAGGGACCTGAGGCCAAGACGAATGTGCTCTGGCCTTTTGAGGGGACTGCCTTTCTACTCGGGGTCCCGGTTTCTGGCCCCGACTCCCTTCCTGGCCGCAGCGAAAGCAGCCGCCGCGGCTTCGCAAAACACAGGTCGCGGGGCGGGGTGCGTGGGGGGGGGTGGGAAGAAGAGGCAGCCACATGCAGGCACACGCGCGCGGGATGCTCCCCCACCCCCGCCCAGGACAGCCTCGCTTCTTCCCCAGATTTTCCTCCTGCCTCTCCCTCCCGAGTTAATCGGGAGAGGAACAGAAATGAAGCCACGCGTCTCGCCAAAGGGCGCGCGGTAACCTCCCGCACAGGAGCCGGGAGGCCGCCGCGGGGACTGCCCTCTCCCAGGTTTAGGGATCCTGCCTGGGGGGTGGGGGTGGGGGGCGAGAATCCGGGAGCGGTCCTGGCTCCTAGAGAGCGCCGCCCGCTGACCTACCTCCAGCATCCAGGTGGCCACCATCCTGCGCATGTAGGGCTGGATGTCCTTCTGCACGCACTTGAAGTAGGAGCACTGCGGAAGGTAGCGCTCCTCGATGGTGAGCAGGTTCTGCAGGACGCGGTCGTCCTGGAGCAGGTTGCGGTCCCGCACGGCCCTGCGGATCGGGTCCACCTCGCAGCACAGCAGCTCCATGGCCGGCCCGGCGACCCCTCTCTCCCCTACTTTCTCCGGACTGAAATGTGGTTTTTTGTTTTTTTTGGAAGGGGAAGGGAAAGGGTTCCCCCGACCTCCTTCCTCTGGCTAAATAGGGGGGTTCGGGGAAGAAGTGAGAGCAGAGAGAGAAGGTGGAGCAGAAGAGGGGCGAGGATTGGGCGGTGGGCGAGCAGAGCCTCGGGGTCTGCCTCACTCGCACCGGTCCTCCCCTTCCAACTGGTCTCGCTCTCCCCAGCTCGCTCTTCTCCGCTCTGAGGCGGTGACGCAAGCTGGCTCGGCAGTTAGCTCTCCTCCCTCTACCCCGCTCCCCGCTCTGGTTCCTCCTCCCCTTCCCTCCCCTCCTGGTTCTCCCCTCCTCCTTTCAATCTCTCCCTCCCTCCCTCCTTTTCCCCTCTCGCTATTAAGGAGAGCAGCAGCTGCCCCGACCTAACTTCAAACGCCGTCCCCCGCCCCCCAACCCCTCTCCCTCCTCCAGCCCTGCGTGCCAGGGGCCCCGGACAGGGCAACCCACAACAAACTACTGATTCCTATTTCTGCCCTCTAATTGCGCTCATTCTGTAGGTGTAGCACGCCAAAATACGACCCTCCAACTTTGGCTTCGTCAAAACGGATCCTAATCCTCCTGCCCTTGTATTCAAGATCCAGGAATGTAGGGTAGATTATTGATGGGGTGAGCTCAGACCATTTAGAAATAGATCCCTTGAGTGAAAAATAAGGAAGGGGGTGATTTTAGAAAACAGCAACCTCGCATACCCAGAGATAAGGGTCATGTCCCTGAAGTTCATGTTCCTGATAACTTGGAAGCTGTTTCAAAAGCCCGGATTAAAAGGAACAGAACGTCGTCCCTTCTGCCGCCCCCCACCCCCCAGCAGAGTGTGTGGAGTGGAAGAAGAGGGAGGGAGGGGTGGGTGTTAGGAAGGAAGAGGGATGCTTCTCTGGAGGGATACAATGTGCTTCTCGAGCAGAAACCGTCGTGTTCCTGGGGACCCTAGGAGCGCCCTGAGGCGACGCGGTGCAGTGCCCAGGGCCGCAGGAGGCCGGGGGCAGGGCTCCCAGCGGTTCCTCCGCGGCCAGCGGCCACGCAGGAAAAACCCGCTTCCTCGCCCCTGCGTCTGCTGACAAGCCGCCCGAGGTGTCTGCGCCGAGCGTGGCCACACCGATACAGCTTTCTAGGAAATGGCCCGGGAGGGGGAGGGGGGCGAGTGAGGGATTAGGTCTGGCTCCCCCTCGCTCCCCCTGCGCAAACACCACCACCCCTTCCTTTCCTCGGAGGCAGGAGGCCACCACCCTCGGTCCTTCGCCCGCATCCTCGCCGACCCCTCCGGGTTCGCGCCTCACTCGCCAGGCTTTCTCCCTGGGAGCGGACTGCGGTGAAGTCGCCGCCAGCACTGTCGGCCCTGACACGTGCTCTAACGCATCCTCCAGTCAAGGCTGTCTTTACGGGAGATCGATCTGCTGGCGCTTCCTCACCCCCTTCCTCCTGTCACCCCCAACCCCCACCCTGCCCTTTCACTCCAGGAGGAAGGGGAGAGCGCAGCGCCCCGTTGTGCTGGCCGAGCTGGCACGTGCAGCGGGCATGGCGTAGCTCGAGCTCTCTGGCACACCGAGGCCGACCGTGTACCTCCCTCGTCGGGAGAGGGGGCCCGGGCAGGGGCGCAGAGAGCCAGCAAGGCGGGGTGGGGCGCGGGCTGGTGAGCCGTACGCTAGGTTCCCTGCAAGGCAAAGGAGGGGAGCGAAGAAACCAGAGGTGCAAGCGATTAACTGAGGCCCCGGAGCCAGCCTCTTTAAAAGAGGGTGGGGCGGAAGGTGTAGGGGGGAGGAGGGGGATATCGCTTTAAAAGGGTACGAGTTTGGGGCGCCGTCTCCCCTCCCTCTATTTGCATAGCCAATAGCTCTGGGGCTCCTGCTACTGCGCGCTGATTGTTACCGGGCAGATTACTTTTTTTTTTTTTTTTTTTTTTTGGTAGGACGCGTTCCCCACTACATCAAAAGGAAGCCAAGGGAGGGCGGAGGGAGAGCCGGCGCTGGGGCTGGCGAAAGCTCGGGAGAGGCCCGGCCGCCTCCGACCTTATCAATAGCAGCGGGAATGAGTATCCCATCTCCTATAAGTAAAGAAAGGGGAGGGAAGGGGAGGGAAGGGGCGGGCGAAGAAAATGTCTAATTGCTGTGGAAGCCATTAGCTTTCGTGAAGAAAAAAAGCTCGCTGAAAAAGCCAAGTTGCAAACTCAAAATGAAACAGTCCGGCGCCGCGGATGACAACCCGGCCGAGTACGGTGTTCACCCGCACACAGTCGGTCCCGAACAATCACCTATTGATTTTAGTCACCTTGGACTTCCCGATTTAAGCGTTTGAGTCACCCCTGGTAAATACATTCACTTACATTTTAAGACCCCCATAAGGGAATTACTCCAATTTCACCTAAGCCACCTTTGAGCCGATCAAAGAAAGTTGCTGCGTGGAGAGGGGAGAAAAGGAGGGAGCGAGGGAGGTATTTTTAAAGTATAAATCTAACCCGACAGGCAAGGACAGAGGCCGCCGGGGATCCCAGCCTCGGGACATGACTTGATAGCTCTGGGAGCAGGATCTCTTCTATCCCTACCCCGCACCCCCCTCCCACAAGGGAGGCATCTCCAGCTCTAGGTCTCCCGAAGTGGGGGGAGGGGGGAGGAAGAAGCGGGTGGTCTTCCGGGGCCTTGCCCACCAAGGGGAGAATGCCTGGGTGGCGAGTCCTCAGGTCTCGGGAGGGAGCCCAGGGCCCTCTCGCCCCTTCCCTTCACTCTCCCCCTTCCCCCACCCGTCTTGCTTTACAGAGAAATTCCAGCGGGGAGGGGGGCGGCGAAGGGGAGGGGCAGAGAGGGTCGCGGCCGGATGCCCCCCCTTCCCAGTGGTTTCTGCATTCTTGGAGACCCGCAAGTTCGGGCGCTTCCCGCGTGGCAGGCTCGTCTCTTGAAGTTCCCCTGTCCACTTCCCCTTCCGATTACGGACTGTTCCAGAGCGTGAACCTCGCCATCGAATCCAATCCCTGGTGGTTTTTCAGACACTCACTCACACGTGGGGTGGGGCGTGAGAGGGTGCGGAGGTTGGCAGGAATGTCTCTAGGAGACTTGGACTGGAAACTGAGTTTTCCCTTTTGGTCGCCACTCCAGCCATGTGTTAAAACCTTAATTTCTTGTTAAAATGCACTCCACCTAGCACGCGGGAAAAGGTATGTTGCCTTCAGGGCAAAAGTGCACATTTTCTTTCAGTGTAGACTCAGGTTTAGAGAAAAAGCGCCAGCGCCTGTGTTCTGGCTTTGAAGTCCAAACTGATCATCGTGGCGGGAGGGTGGGGGGCGGCGAGGGAGGTGTAGAATGTTGGTTCTTCCTTATCTCCTTTTCACTGTTCACGGAAAAATATATCTATCCCGTGTAGGACTGGTGATAAACTTTAGTGAACGCCAGTTTTATTGCACTTTTATTCCCTTTCCGGCCGGCTCCCCACCCTCTACTCGCGTTTTGGAGTTTCGGTTGGAAAGTGTACAAAGCCTGAAGGTGGAAGGTGCAGCAGGGCGTTGGGTGTTGGGTGTTTATAGGCACATTTCTGCAGGAGCCTGCAGCACTAAGCACACATACTCCCAAGCTCACCTGGCGGATGCCTGTCTGCCAGCCAGGTGATTGCGGTCGGCTCGAGGCCCGAGAGCAGCGCAAGTTCGAGTC